TCTCTTTCTCTCTGAAATCAATAAAAATATATTTTAAAAATAAATAAATAAATAATGCTATTATTTACAAAGTAATGCACATAGTACCTTGCACATTTGCTGAATTAAACGGCAGGGTTTTATTCTCAATATTTGGCACTGATAATTCAAATATTCATTAATTATATATGTTCATTATTTCTGAGTAATTTACTTATTTGTCTATTAAGTAGCAAAGAGTAAAAATATCCTCAAGACATCAGCTAGCTTTCGTTGGAGTGAGTGATCCAAAAAATCAAGGTAGCTGGATTAAGTTTTGAGATTTTTAAAATATATATATTTTTATTAACTTCAGAGAGGAAGGAAGAAGGAGAGATATAAACATCAATAATGAGAGAGAATCATTGATTGACTGCCTCCTGCATGCTCCCTACTGGGGATCAAGCTTGCAACCTGGGCATGTGCCCTTGACCAGAATCGAACCTGGAACCCTTTAGTCTGCAGGTTTATGCTCTATACATTGAGCCAAACCAGTTAGGGCAGTGTTGGGATTTTAAATGAACTTCCTGCCTTTGAAAATTTCTGTAATGCAATAAGAATACTTACATTGATAGAATTTTAGTTTATAATTTTTTTTTTAATTAAAACAAGTCTGCAGCCTAAAGATGTTGATAACAACTTTCTGTTAAAGTCCTCTTTTGGTATAACTCTTCTTCCAGGGTTCTTAGGTACAAAGAAGAGTATTTAGGTACAAAGAAGAGTATTTTCCATGCAGCAGCTGCAGCAAAATTAATTTCTTATTTTCCCTTTGCAATATTCAGATTAGATGGAATATTTTGATATATAGTAATATATATCTGGCCCTTTTCACAAAGAGAATCCAGGGATAAGGAGTAAAGTAAAGAACTTATTGAAAAATTTGGTATCTACTAATGACAATTCAAAAGTTTAATTTTGATAACAAAACCAAGCATTAATTCTACATATCTGAGAATTAATGAAGTAGGTTTCAAATGAAGATGGATGTTAGAAAAATCATAATGTTAATCAAACTTGTTGCAAACTTTCCAACTTATCTTATTTAAAATACTTTGGTAATTTACCCAATAAATGTTCTCTTATAAAATATAAATAAATATTCATATTGTTCATTGTTAGTACCTGGAGCAATGCCACACACATAGTCAACACTTACTAAGTTTTTGTTTAGTGAATGAATGTGGAACTTAAGAATATTTTAGAATATTGAATTTTTAAAAATTGTTGTCTTGAAATAGTATTGCTGTGGTATTCATTATTAGTTTTTTTTCTGAGGCATGGAAAAGTTTTGAGTATTAGAACTAATAGTCTGCTATAGTTGTTTACCCCACACTTTTGAACTACTGATAGAAATTAAATGAAAAATTGAGTGAAAGGATTAGGTTTCTGAATAATTAAATCCTACATAGGGATGCTTTATACAGGATTTTTTTTAAAGGGGGTTTTATAAATAAAATGGAGATAAGTCATTTTAAAGTAAGGAATCTAGTAAATGTTCAACTAATGGATTTCATTGCCCCAAATATAGTTTCATCTTGCATAGTATGCATTTGTTGTGTATTTACTATTAAACTAACTTAAACATTAATGTGATTTTATGTAAAATCGTTCATGTCTCTGTGCAGACTTATATTTGTTAGTAATTGGTTGGATTCTTTTATATATATGTGTGTGTGCACATGCTTTTATTTATTTGGGTTTTTTTAGATATATTTTTATTGATTTCAGAGAGGAAGGGAAAGGGAGAGATAGGAACATTGATCATGAGAGAGAATCATTGACTGACTGCCTCAATCCTGGGGATTGAGTCCACAACCTGGGCATGTGCCCTTGACTGGAATTGAACCTGGGACCCTTCAGTCTGCAGGCTGAACGCTCTATCCACTGAGCCAAACCCAGTAGGGCTTCTTTTATATTTTTATTGTGCTACATTTGCCTCCTTGTCTTGAAAGAGTGGGTAATTGCTTCTCTTTTTAGGGGTCACAGGCAGAAAGTCTATCAGCAAATTCTGACTGGGCAGCAAAACTTTCTGAGCTACTCTCACATTGTTTTGCCTTTATCCTTAGTACTGTTTTCTTCCTTCCTTGAAATGTTTCTTTTCCAGGTGGTCATTAACACTCACCCCAAAATGTTAGCCTTTGGCAGACGTTTCACACTCTTCTTCTCTACTGTCACTTTGCATTTGGTCAGGGACTAGTTATTTCTTCACTTAGATTTGGGTGATACAGTCTTTTGGATATACTATGCTATATTATCTCCTTACACTATTCTCCCCTCCCCAACTGAGCTTTGGAGTAATAGCAGGACCAGGGAGGAGAACTCAAACCAGCTGTCCAGATACCACCTATGTCAGAGCAATTCACACTAATATTTCCCCCCCTAGATTTATACAATAACATAAACTTCCCCTTTTTGTTTCCTTTGTTCTAAGGCTGTGCGTAATCCCCAACTTGATTGTCTTTGGCCTGTACCACGGTGCTGCTTATATCTGTTCCCAAATTTGGCACCTCTTTATATATTCACATGTCCATGTAATAAAGGTCACTGGTGTTCTGGTGTACTTGTGAGAAAACCATTTTATGCTTCTGCAATGAAAATTAGGGAAAAGCTAGTAAGTTGATGTTGTCAGTGACGGTAAACTGACTTTTTTCACTGTTTTTGTTTTAAAACATTTTTCTGGAGCTCCAGTGGCGCAATGGGTTAGCGCGAGGTACTTATAAAACATTTTTCTTAACTTAAGCCTATTGTCTGCTAACATACTATTAGAACTACTTTTATGTTAGCTTAGTCCAGGGGTGGGCAAACTTTTTGACTCGAGGGCCACAATGGGTTCTTAAACTGGACCGGAGGGCTGGAACAAAAGCATGGATGGAGTGTTTGTGTGAACTAATATAAATTCAAAGTAAACATCATTACATAAAAGGGTACGGTCTTTTTTTTTTTTTTGTTTTTATTCTTTTCAAGCGGGCCGGACCCGGCCCAAACGGGCCGTTTTGCCCACGGCTGGCTTAGTCGCTTAGAGTTCATTTTTAGGGGAACTTTTTATTCAACTATCTATCTATCTATATCTATATCTATATCTATATC